GAACATATAAATCCCCATCGAAAATCCCTTAATCCCAACAATAAAACTACTCAGACATAATGAACGAAATCAAAGACATAGTATTAAGAAGTAGAATAAAAACCGAAATTGAAAAAAGAAAGAACAAGGGTTCAAGAGACAGATCTCTCTCTCCCTAAAACCTAAAACTTAAAAGTATTCTAAAACAATATAAAAAATAGCATATCCTTCGAAATAGGGTTCCTAAGACATGTATTTATAGTGCTCAAGACATCTCTGGACGTCACTTAGGGTTTCTCCAAATGAAGGAATCATTGTGGGCTTCAGAAATGGGCTTTTGGGCTCGGAGTTGGCTTGCCGCGGTCGGGAGTGCTGTGACCGCGGGGAATGAGTGGTTTGCCGCGGTCGGAATGCTTCTGACCGCGGGATATGGCCTGTTGGCCGCGGGTGGAGTTGCTTGCCGGCTGGTTTACGGGACATCTTGCTCTTCGCGTATCTTTTGATTGGACCGTTGGATTGTCAAGCTGTAAAGTGTGCTGGAAAGCTGATACTTCCATCTTTAAGGTCTCCAAATTGAGCTGGATCAGACAGTGAGAAGGCCTTCAATCAGGGGTGAACTTCTGACGGTTTAACTCCTGAAATCTGGTTTTCTATCCATTTTGTTAAGTTTTTCCCTAAGTTACCTGAAAAGAGTCTTGGAACTAAAAATACTAGAAAAATGTGATAAAAATACTTAAAAGTAATTAAAAACATAGAAAAAGTATTTCAAAACGATCCGTAAAAATGGTCAAAATACGGTGTTATCAGCATCTGCAACCTTGTTGGTGCTCCCAGATCGAAATTCGACCCCAAAATCATATCATAATAACTTGCTAACCCACTGTAGCTGAGGCGAATATGATCCATTGTTTTCTGAACTCCCTCGTGACCAAAATTATGAAAACCCGCCAAAATTTCCTGTATGATGACAGAGTCAGTTTCCAAATAAACTTGACCCTTGCGAAATAGCAACCCCTCATGAGCTTCCCATATACTCGATTCCTCTCCTCGAATAATGCGATCTCGTAAAGCTGATAATTGTGAGTTGCAATCAATCTCGGCTCGGATGCGCAAAAATCCCTTTGTCGGAGCTTGTTAAAGCAAATGAAGCACACTCTGCTTCGAACCCATCGTCACCTCTCCATGATAGCGCATCTGATTGTGTGGTGTCGGTGTGTCGAGGGTTGTCAAGTTTTACCCTAAATGAAATCAATAGCCGCAAGTGCACAGCTGATCGATTGTAGTACTTAGGGATCGAATCCACAGGGAAAGAGGATCTTTTCCTGCAAAAAGCCTTTGAAATAAGTATAAAGTAAGGAAGTCTAGAACCAAAACGGTTTTGTGGGGGTTTGGTAGTGTGTTTAAAATGTAAAAACGAAATCTTAAAAGAAAATACGGGAATTAAATGGCCTAATAACTAAACTTAACGAAAATGAATAAAAATGAGAAAAACGGATATTCTAATTGCTTAAATGAAAATCTACTAAAAGGGAAAGACAATATTGAACTAAAGCTTGAAATAAAAACGGTGTAAATCAATAGGAAAGAAGGCGTTGGGGTTCAGGGAAGTTTTCTCAGGGGTACGAACGATTCAAAACATTGCTAGAGAGTAAAATTGATAAGATCTTAGCTTAAACTTTTCGAACTGGAGTCATGGACGTATGAATACGCCACTGTCGTGATCATAAACAACTATCTCTCTCAACCCTGACCAGTAGGTTTCCACTCTGGCCCTGGAAAACAAGAGATGCATTATGTTTAAGACTCGTCAGCATTCACAAATCGCCCATAGGTAGGTTTCTACTCCTATGTTTGTTTTGCTCTCCCAAACTAGATCTGACACCGGATGAACACTTTCGTGTCACCAAGCATCTGGATCAGATTGTAGTTCATGACGCTACTCTCATGCAGTAAAAACGAATTCAGAAGAAAAAGTTCTAAGATTCGGCTCAAAAACTCATGGAATCCTCATCGAACATATAAATCCCCATCGAAAATCCCTTAATCCCAACAATAAAACTACTCAGACATAATGAACGAAATCAAAGACATAGTATTAAGAAGTAGAATAGAAACCGAAATTGAAAAAGAAAGAACAATGGTTCAAGAGACAGATCTCTCTCTCCCTAAAACCTAAAACTTAAAAGTATTCTAAAACAATAAAAAAATAGCATATCCTTCGAAATAGGGTTCCTAAGACATGTATTTATAGTGCTCAAGACATCTCTGGACGTCACTTAGGGTTTCTCCAAATGAAGGAATCATTGTGGGCTTCAGAAATGGGCTTTTGGGCTCGGAGTTGGCTTGCCGCGGTCGGGAGTGCTGTGACCGCGGGGAATGAGTGGTTTGCCGCGGTCGGGATGCTTCTGACCGCGGGATATGGCCTGTTGGCCGCGGTTGGAGTTGCTTGCCGGCTGGTTTACGGGACATCTTGCTCTTCGCATATCTTTTGATTGGACCGTTGGATTGTCAAGCTGTAAAGTGTGCTGGAAAGCTGATACTTCCATCTTTAAGGTCTCCAAATTGAGCTGGATCAGACGGTGAGAAGGCCTTCAATCAGGGGTGAACTTCTGACGGTTTAACTCTGAGCTGAAATCTGGTTTTCTATCCATTTTGTTAAGCTTTTCCCTAAGTTACCTGAAAAGAGTCTTTGAACTACAAATACTAGAAAAATGTGATAAAAGTACTTAAAAGTAATTAAAAACATAGAAAAAGTATTTCAAAACGATCCATAAAAGTGTTCAAAATACGGTGTTATCAGCATCTGCAACCTTGTTGGTGCTCCCAGATCGAAATTCGACCCCAAAATCATATCATAATAACTTGCTAACCCACTGTAGCTGAGGCGAATATGATCCATTGTTTTCTGAACTCCCTCGTGACCAAAATTATGAAAACCCGCCAAAATTTCCTATATGATGACAGAGTCAGTTTCCAAATAAACTTGACCCTTGCGAAATAGCAACCCCTCATGAGCTTCCCATATACTCGATTCCTCTCCTCGAATAATGCGATCTCGTAAAGCTGATAATTGTGAGTTGCAATCAATCTCGGCTCGGATGCGCAAAAATCCCTTTGTCGAAGCTTGTTAAAGCAAATGAAGCACACTCTGCATCGAACCCATCGTCACCTCTCCATGATAGCGCATCTGATTGTGTGGTGTCGGTGTGTCGAGGGTTGTCAAGTTTTACCCTAAATGAAATCAATAGCCGCAAGTGCACAGCTGATCGATTGTAGTACTTAGGGATCGAATCCACAGGGAAAGATGATCTTTTCCTGCAAAAAGCCTTTGAAATAAGTATAAAGTAAGGAAGTCTAGAACCAAAACGGTTTTGTGGGGGTTTGGTAGTGTGTTTAAAATGTAAAAACGAAATCTTAAAAGAAAATACGGGAATTAAATGGCCTAATAACTAAACTTAACGAAAATGAATAAAAATGAGAAAAACGGATATTCTAATTGCTTAAATGAAAATCTACTAAAAAGGAAAGACAATATTGAACTAAAGCTCGAAATAAAAACGGTGTAAATCAATAGGAAAGAAGGCGTTGGGGTTCAGGGAAGTTTTCTCAGGGGTACGAACGATTCAAAACATTGCTAGAGAGTAAAATTGATAAGATCTTAGCTTAAACTTTTCGAACTGGAGTCACGGACGTATGAATACGCCACTGTCGTGATCATAAACAACTATCTCTCTCAACCCTGACCAGTAGGTTTCCACTCTGGCCCTGGAAAAGAAGAGATGCATTATGTTTAAGACTCGTCAGCATTCACAAATCGCCCATAGGTAGGTTTCTACTCCTATGTTTGTTTTGCTCTCCCAAACTAGATCTGACACCGGATGAACACTTTCGTGTCACCAAGCATCTGGATCAGATTGTAGTTCATGACGCTACTCTCATGCAGTAAAAACGAATTCAGAAGAAAAAGTTCTAAGATTTGGCTCAAAAGCTCATGGAATCCTCATCGAACATATAAATCCCCATCGAAAATCCCTTAATCCCAACAATAAAACTACTCAGACATAATGAACGAAATCAAAGACATAGTATTAAGAAGTAGAATAGAAACCGAAATTGAAAAAGAAAGAACAAGGGTTCAAGAGACAGATCTCTCTCTCCCTAAAATCTAAAACTTAAAAGTATTCTAAAACAATTAAAAAAATAGCATATCCTTCGAAATAGGGTTCCTAAGACATGTATTTAAAGTGCTCAAGACATCTCTGGACGTCACTTAGGGTTTCTCCAAATGAAGGAATCATTGTGGGCTTCAGAAATGGGCTTTTGGGCTCGGAGTTGGCTTGCCGCGGTCGGGAGTGCTGTGACCGCGGGAAATGAGTGGTTTGCCGCGGTCAGGATGCTTCTGACCGCGGGATATGGCCTGTTGGCCGCGGGTGGAGTTGCTTGCCGGCTGGTTTACGGGACATCTTGCTCTTCGCGTATCTTTTGATTGAACCGTTGGATTGCCAAGCTGTAAAGTGTGCTGGAAAGCTGATACTTCCATCTTTAAGGTCTCCAAATTTGAGCTGGATCAGACGGTGAGAAGGCCTTCAATCAGGGGTGAACTTCTGACGGTTTGACTCTGAGCTGAAATCTGTTTTTCTATCCATTTTGTTAAGCTTTTCCCTAAGTTACCTGAAAAGAGTCTTGGAACTACAAATACTAGAAAAACGTGATAAAAGTACTTAAAAGTAATTAAAAACATAGAAAAAATATTTCAAAACGATCCATACAAGTGGTCAAAATACGGTGTTATCAGCATCTGCAACCTTGTTGGTGCTCCCAGATCGAAATTCGACCCCAAAATCATTTCATAATAACTTGCTAACCCACTGTAGCTGAGGCGAAGTTGACAGACGCTGTTCCAGCAAGAATTTGAGACTATAATGGTCTGTTCGTATGAGAAAACGGCGTCCCACAAGTATGGTCGCCAGTGAATAACTGCTTCAGCAAGACCAATGAGCTCTCGTTCATAAGCTGCCAACTTAATATGTCTGTCGGCCAACTTCCGACTTAAAAAAAGCTATTGGGTGGTTCGCTTGTTGTAGAACAGCACCAATCCCACTATCCGAGGCGTCACACTCTATGATAAAGTCTTTACTGAAATCTGGAAGAGCAAGAACCGGAGATTCTGACAAGGACTTCTTAAGAGCTACAAAAGATTCCTCTGCTGTTTCATCCCAACTGAAACCGGTTTTCTTAAGTAGGCGAGTCAACGGAGCCGCAATAATGCCATAATCTCTAATAAATTTCCTGTAATACCCTGAGAGCCTAAGAAATCCCCTCACAGCGCGTACTGATCCCGGTCGAGGCCAGTCTGTAATGGCTGTTATTTTTGATTGGTCCACCTTAACGCCATCGTGAGAGATGACATGCCCGAGGTAACCGATCTCTTGTTGTCTAAACAAACACTTGGACTGTTTCAGAAATAGCCTATGCGCTTGTAGAAGCTTGAATACTTGGCGAACATGTAGCATGTGGTCCTCTTAAGATGTGTTATATATGAGGATGTCGTCAAAGAAGACCAACACGAACTTGCGAATTATGCCTTGGAAGACCGAGTTCATCAGGCTTTGAAACGTTGAAGGTGCATTCGAGAGGCCAAATGGCATGACCAAGAATTCGTTATGGCCATGGTGAGTTCGAAAAGCTGTCTTCTCAATGTCTTGTTCATTCATGCGGACCTGATGATAACCCGAGGCAAGGTCGAGCTTGGTGAAAAAACGTGTTCCATGGAGCTCATCTAATAGCTCGTCCACCACCGGAATAGGGAATTTGTCTTTGATCGTCAGTTTGTTAAAGTCCTGATAATCAATGCAAAATCGCCATGAATTATCTGCTTTCTTGACTAGGAGTACCGGTGACGAAAAAGGGGAGTTGATGGACCGTATGGTATCATTGCGGAGCATTTTGGTACATTGTCGTTCAATTTCGTCTTTTAAGAAATGCGGATACCTATAAGACCGAACAGCAACTGGGTTTGACCCTTGCTCCAGCTGAATTCTATGGTCACACTCGTGTTTTGGTGGAAGCCCTGTTGTCTAGAGAATAAGTCTTCAAAATCTCGTAAAACACTGCCAAGACGTTCGTGTATTGTTGCAGTAGTGATCGACCATAGAGCCTTCTGCCGGGTTGGTTTCGGGCTCTTAAAAACGGGTAGGGTATTTGGGGAAAGCGTGAAAATTTCCTCCTCTTCCGCAAACCATTGCTCCAAGAGTTCACTCTGAATCGCCAGGGTATTAAGGGTAGCTCCTTCGCGACCTCTGTGTGCTGCTTCTCCCCGCCATCCGGTAGACATATTAGCTTGAAATTTGACAGTCCGAGCCGTGCCATCCTAAACAACACGTCCCAATGCGTTGAGTCAACGGATACCAAACTTGAATACTTGGCAAACATGTAGCATGTGGTCCTCCCAAGATGTGCTATATATGAGGATGTCGTCAAAGAAGACCAACACGAACTTGCGAATTATGCCTTGGAAGACCGAGTTATCTTCCTTCTAATATTGATTTCCAAATGAAATATGGTTTAGTACCTCGACCCGCTCGGAGAATATCTGAATACATAAAGTATCTTCTTTTAAGTTAACCTCGCCATTAAAATGTTTGGTGCTTGTAATATTCTCCAGGCTTGTTTAGCTAGCAAAGCAAGGTTGAAACTTTCAATATCTCTAAAACCAAGACCTCCTTCTCTTTTTGGAAATCCTAATCTTTTCCAGGATAACCTATGCATAGATCTTTTATCTGGACTTTTGCTCCACCAGAACTCAGCTAAAATCCCATTGATTTCTTCACACGTTCTTATCGGTAATTTGAAACAATTCATCGTGTATACTGGCATTGCCATAGCCATTGTCTTGATCGTAGGATTTCTTTCCCAGCATCTGAAAGGAATTTGTGCTTCCAACCATGGGTTCTTTACTTCACCTTGTCAGCAATGAATTTGAAATTTTCTTTTTTCTTCCGGCCTATATGCTCTGGTAAACCTAAATATTTACCACACCCTCCATCATTGTGAATATTGAGTAGATGTCGAAGTCTTGTCTTCATATATCGCTAACTTTTGAGCCAAATGTTATAGCTGATTTATGAAGATTAACTGCTTGGCCTGATATCTTCTCATATGCTTCCAGGATCTCCATTATTGTTTTACAAGAGCGAGGATGTGCATGGCAAAAGAATAGTCATCATCTGCAAAAAGAAGGTGATTCACCATGGGTCCGGTATTACTAATTTTCATCCCTTTGAGCCTTCTTGTTGATGTAGTCGTTGACAGAAAATGGCTTAAGACTTCCCCACAGAGAATAAATAAGTAATCTTTAATTTCATTATTTCACATTAAAAATTAGTGAGTTATTTCATACGACATACATCACATAATATTTTCTATAACATTCTAAACATTATCCACCTTTTAGCAATAGAGCTAGTGATAAAAGTAATGAAAAAAAAAACTATTGATGTTGCAATATTTTATATAATTCATATTTGTTTATGTAAAAAATCAAGGAGTTGTGAGTATAAAGATCATGCGTTATTTCGAATGATAAATTTTGTTAATTATTTTTGATAATATGTCTCTAGTCACTAGTACACTTCTTTTGCATTTAAACCATCCAATAAATTACCATGATGGATTTATAAGTTGTTTTTAACATTGGTTGTAGACAAGAAAGATTACTGTAAATTGGAAAACGACATATTTCCTCCTCAAAACTATCTTATAGTAACATATTTACCTAATTTTTTGCACCTTGTTCACTCACCTCACACGCCTCACATGCCTCACACGCCTGAACCTTCTCCGACGCTGATCGCACAAAGCAGCTCGCTAGATGCTATAGAGACCATTTACTGGGTTTTAATGGAGAATTTCAAAGTGCAAACAGAAAGCGTATTATTGGAGTATGGCGTTAGTCATCTCAGATCCTTCCATGTAAGAATAAAAGAACGACCAAAGAAGCTGAATTAGTTAGTTCTTGAGAAAGCTCCTCTGTTTTCTTCTCCCATCTAGAAATCTGATGCTACTTGGGTTAGGGAGTCACATAGGCTTTCCCGCAAGTGCACAGTTGTGCAGTGTAGTACTTAGGGTATCAATCCACATACAGATTGTCTAATCTATAAAAACTTAAAATTAGAATTAGTAAACGGATTAATAAACTCAAGGGGTTTTTATAGGTTTTTGGCATTAAAGAAAAGAAAAAAGTAAAGAAAATTCCTACACCTATATGGGCTTAAAAATAAAAAAATAAATAAATAAGTTTGGCTGGCAAGGATAAGGATGGTCAATTCATGTTAGGTTCTAAAGCTCACAAAATTTTGATTCAGACTCCTCCTGAACGTTCATTCTTGCTCACATCTTCTCGGTAGGTAGCTTTCGTCGCCTACAACGATTATGTTCTTCTGAGGCTATGTACGACAATTAATACATCACTCTTGTGGTTCTTATTAATCCTAGATTCAGAGATTAGTTCATGACTCTAATCTCATGCATTAAGTATAACTTAGAAGAGATGATATCTAGAATGACTAAGAAAAATAACAATTCTAATCGAACATACTGATCCTTTCGATGGATCTCTTAAACTCAACTATTACATACTACTCTAACATGATGCAAGAAAAGAAAAGCATAGCAGATAGATGCATAAATTGAAATAGATAGATAAAAAAAGATAAAACAAAAGGTTCAAGGGAAGAATCTCTATCTCCCTAACCTAAACCTATGAAACTAAATTTTGAAAAGAGCTTTGAAACTACAAATAGAGAGAAATCATAATAAAAATATTTAAAACTAATAAAAACCTTTGAAATAGCATAAAAAATCTTTAGTAAAAATGGATACAAATACGATTATCGAAATCGAACACAGATACTGCAACACAACGTTTAAACAAGTCTATGAAGTCTAAACAAGTGAAATTAAAGGGTTTTGAGGTTTCAAGTGAGAGGTTGAGCAACTTTCACTTTCGAATCTCTGGATTTGAAATTCAATTTTAGGGTTCCTCACAACTGAAATCGGGGATTATGGGTTTAGGTGGATATAAATTATCAGTTATAATTGGGTTGTAATCTGGCTATTTTCAAGATTATTTGGTTAAGATTTGTTTGGTAAATAGCAAACCGATATTAATCGTTCTTTATGTAGATTTTAGGTTTTAATTTTCATTTTGTGAATAAATATGTCTCAAACTTTCGAATTGAGAAGAATTACAGTCTTTAACTATGAAATCAGGAAGTCAAAAGTTTGGGTGACTATATAATAGTTCTGAGGAGAAAATATGTCGTTTTTCTACACATTTAAATATTCTTTCCATTTCATATCTAGTGTTCTTTTGATAATTTATATTTAAATCAAAAACTAGAAAATAATGTTGTGAGACGACGAATAATTAGATATAAAATCAATGTTAAGTCTATTTTAATAATATATATCAGTACCACTTTAAAATCAAAAATTCGTAAAATTCCGTAGAATTATTTTTTTTTTGTTTGCTAAGGTAAGAGATTTGAATTCGAGATCCATACGTCAACAGAACCAAAATAGATGATGGGGTTGATTGGCGTTAGACTGTAGAGACTTTTAAGGTTTTTACAGTTTTTAAAGTCTTTTTTAGCCAAACACACTTTTTCTATTTTATTAGTTTTAAAGTCTTAAAAGTAAGACTTTTTGTTTTTGTTCATGATTTCTAAAAGTTACGTGGGAAAGTTACGTGGGAGAAACTTTTACCCAAAACCCTTATAAAAATAAATATATTCTATTTTTTTTATTTCTTTCTCCCCATAAGCATTCGAAAGAATTTATAAATATATATAAATAATTATTAACTAATTTTAATTAATTAAATCTTTTTTTCTTCTTTCTTTTAAGATTTATTTCTTTATTTTTATTTTTTATTTTTTTTTCTGTTTATTTATCATATTTTTAAAAGTTAAAATTAAATTTTAACAGTAAAAGTTTTTAAAGTGAAAACTTACAGTAAAAGCTAAAAGTTACAGCCCTTACCAAATAGGCCCGATATCAAGACTACTGATCTCTTCCCTAGGAAAAGAGTTTGGACTTTTTTTTTCTCATTGTATTATTTGTAACATTTTTGCTTGATAATATAGAATGTATGTGATGTATTCTTAATTGTGTATGGTCGGTCTAAATGTCGTAATAAGAACCAAAGATGAAACCTTTGAGGCCATTACGAGATATATAAAGTATGATTCATTCATCAATCAAAAGAAACGGCTCTACTTGTCTAATTCTTTAACTTCATTAGATGAGATGCTTAAAGATTGATTAACTGACTGAAATATAAGAAATGTAACACTATTATTATTAGATCACTGCATTTTCTTTTTCGTTTTTCTATAACATTCTGGGATTTGCCCTTATTTCGAAAATAAAATTTCAGGTAACTAAGCTTTTAAACCTACAATATTACTGGAGGTCCAGCAGATTGGGAGCATTGTTGCTTTACCATAGGAGG